AATGTTAAGGCTCACTTGGAATCTTAATACTCATTTTTTAAAATTTTGATTATACATGTTTATATATTTGATGTTTTTTTTTTTTTTTACCATTGTTGTTAAAAAATTCTACCTCTTTTTTTATTATCATTATTTTTCTTCAGTATTTTTCCACTAAAATGATAACAGAATCTATGTTGACAACAGTATTAAGGAATGTTGACAATCTCAAACCAAGGTTAGAAATATAAAGAACCATTTTTTTGTACATATTGCATTTGCATTATATAGGTGAGGTTTTTTACTCTTGTTATTCTAGGAAGAAAGAAAAATATAATTATTCTTTTTAAAATATTTTTTGCTAACAAGGATCCTATTGGAACGATATTCGGAGCATTTTTAGAAATTGGAAACCTTTCTCCACCGGAACTTGCTGCAAGGTCTAATTCTTTCCAGGCTGTGTGAGATTGTATGAGCCCTGGAGTATCAGCCAAGCTTAAAACATGGTTGGTATAATGCTGAATTTGGCCACTTTTATCTACATTTCTATTTCACAAGGCTTATTGTGGAACTGGACAAATCTTGATTTCTTCAAATGAATATTCCCCCCCCCCTCTATTTTATATCACAAGGTATAACAAATACAAATAAGTAGTTTATACGTAACAATTAGGTAACAATGATGTTGCTAAATTGTTGTGTATTTATTATTACCTAATTGGCTTTGGGATACCTTGTGATGTTTCTATCTACTATACCAATGATAAGGCACAATTTGGATTATAGATTATAAACATAAGGTAATAAGACCAAATCCAAATAAATAAAACATCTTCAGGCGGATTCAGTACTTTTGTCTGAAGATCGTAACAACGCTGTTACCGTAACGTCACACACTATTTATTTATTTGGTCTTATTACCTTGTGTTTATCTACTATACCTTTATAATTTTTCATTATAGAACCTAAATTAATAGATTTTATAATTTATTTTGGGAGTTTTTTGAGAGGAATTAGAAGTCCCTTATTCCTTCCTGAATATTATTACTATTATATATAATTTTACATAAAAGATAACCCCTGATTTCTCTTTAAAAATTCAGTAGAACCTTTCTGTAAAGGACAGCACATACTTGAAGAGATAAAGTGTCCTTTAGAGAGAGATGTTTTCTTACTGGATCATTGCTAAATAGTAAAAATGATAATATTTTGACAATGGGAAAATGCCCTATGTAGAGAGGTGTCCTCTCCTGAAAGTTCTAAAATTAAATTATTTGTTGTATACATCAAATTTTCATAATGCAGAGATTATAATGGAGAGAGCTATATTCTTATGTTTGTGTTATATTGTATATGATTGTTATACAGATTTATGTATAGTTCACCCACTATATGCCTCTCTGTTCTGTTTACCATATGTTTCATTGTGTTTTTTTTATTATAATAACATGGATTCTATATAGATATATATATTAATCATTTTGTTGTTGTTTTTTTAAGTTCTATATATATGAACCGTTGTTTATTTTTCCTCCCACCATTCAACAAAGCCATTCATATGAAGGAGATGAACATGTTATAAAAACATTGTACCAAATAACGTTGTATTATGTACGAGGTGTTCATGTCATTGTAATCACAAACATAAACTATAGTGGCCTCTTTTTTACCGTTTCTATATATATATATATCTTATCTATACCAGTTTTTTATTTATTTTTTACTATTTTGTATGTGAGAAATCTATATATATATATTCTCCTATGGATCTCTCTCTCTGGCACGCACAATGTGCAAACATATTTTTCTATGTACCACCACCACCACCACTGCCATACAGCTGCCTTCACTGCCACCACCCTATTCACCAAATATTGCTCCATTCACTCACCAGTTTGATGATGATATTGCTATGGAATTGTTGATGGTAATAGTTTAAGGAAGAAGTGTATTGCTTGGGTACCATCTTATGTCTCAATTAAATGTACTGTTGAGTTTTGTATTATATTATATATTTGTTTTGAGGATGATTAGGTTTTGTGTGTCTATATGTAAAGTAGATATTATGTAAATGATATTTACTCTCAAATATAACTAAGTAGAAATGATGTAAAGAAGATATGTAACTGGATGTTGTTGTTGATGGCTTGTACCATTTAAAAAGCCAATAGCTCGAGGAGCATGAACTCATGGAATTGATGTAAACAAGGGGATAAGAAACAACAGGAATCATCAACTCAACTTTTATTTCAGATTATTGGCTAAAAGTATTGATTCGTTGAGAAAAGCTAACCCATATTACAAGATGGTGCTGCGGGTTGTTCGACCATAAAGTTTGGAGCTTTGTTCCTCTTATTCCAGTAAGATGATAAATTTAAGGTGAACTTTTTGACTTCTTTTGATTTAGGTTATTTTTATATTTCTTTATCATGACTAATCCACTGTCAATAATTTATAATGCCCATTTGGTAGTTAATAACTGACCTCTTAAAAGGATTAAGGTATTTCATTCAGTGAATTATGGTATATTCTCTATGGTTTGAAATATGATAAGTTACCTGATTTTGTGGGTTTATAATGATTGCTATTGATATAATGGAGAATTGTGTAAGGAGTGTTGCTTGTATTGAAAACATGTTCTGCAATGTTTGTATCATCACCATTTGCTGCAGTTGGGACAACGAAGAAGCATATCACCACCCTTCCTCCCCCATCATTGATTTCAAGTGTTATTTATTCTGCATCTCTCTCCTCATATTTTTTAGAGTACAAATATAGGTGCATTTTTCTCTCAAAACTATTTCTTCACTCTCTCAATTGAAGTCAATTACTTACTATCTCATCTTACTGCAATGAGAGGGCCTGGGTTGGTAAAGCTGGATTCATCACTGATGCCACACCCTATATTGTTGTCAGTTGAGATAAACAAGTAGTATAAAAGAACTCCAATTCTTATGGTAAGGTACAATTAAGATTATAAATAAAAATCTCAGGTTATCCAAATAAGTCTTTTCAAAGTGACATTTCAATAACAGCATTATTTATACAGTATTACTAAACATGGACTCTGCTAAAAGAGAATTAAAACTTTTTTTCTTTGCTTTCAGTTCTGTTACTGATTCATCATTTGTGTTTGGTCTTAACTATTGAGGGGATATAGTAGAAATACCTCTCTGTAAAGGACAACACCTAATTGCAGAGCCAAAGTGTCCTTTAGAGAGAGGTATCTTCTTAATGGAGAGTTGCTAAATAGCAAAAGTGGTAATTTTACAAATTAAAACTGTCTTTTATAGAGAGGTGTCCTTTAGCGCGAGTGTTCTCTTATGCAGGTTCTACATTACTTGAAATGTCGTGAGCAATTCTTCAGTGGGATGAGTATTTGTTGATGTTCAAATATCTTGTGTGAAGTTATGATCATTGAAGTAGGTGTCGAGGGATTATATACAGTTTTAACTCCTGTGATTTACCAGGGTAACAGAAGGTTGACATCCATGGTATATCCTACAGTATCTATCCATCAAATACTCTAAAATAATCCTGTGCCATAAATCCATGAGCTCCTTTTTGACTCTTGAATCTGGCCAAAGTTGTGTAGCTATTGGGACTATTAAATGGAAGCTAAGAACTAAAGGAGGATATCCCTCATGTTGTAATTGACAAATGGCTTAAATAAGAGTTTGGGAAATAGAGGCTGTTATTGTTTAATTTCATATTTAGGAGATTTATTTGCAATTTTTTTTTAGTACAGTAGAACCTCCCAGTAAAAGACAACATCTAATTGCAGAGCCAAAGTGTCCTTTAGGGAGAGGTGTCCTATTACTGGAGAGTTGCTAAATAGTAAAAATGGTAATTTTGCAAATGAAAACTGTCCTTTGTAGAGAGGTGTCCGCTAAAGGGAGGTTCTACTGTATGTTTTGCATTTGCGAGTGAATGGCACAATTTTGTAGAGTATGAACCAAATATATTTAAGAAATAAAACCAAATCATTGTTTTTGCAAACAGTATTTATAGAAATACCATATACTTTGTCTGTCGTCTAGGTCACAATATTCTAATCAGATTATTTTTATACTTCACTCTCTTTGATGGGATCAATATGCAGATCGCACCTCCATGATGAGGGACTGACTGACTGGAGTGGTCCAGCTGTGTAGGATCCAACCGGACTTCTACTAATCAAACCTTCTCATTAAGACCATCTCCCTGAAAGATCAAAGTTATTTTATTTGGTGGCAAGATATTTCATTAAAAGTTCTATACTGTAAGTATTTGGTTTTATATTTGCACAAAGTTGTCTGTTAACAGGAATATTCCAACAAAAGCTACCTTATTTTGTTTTCACAATTCAACTGTTTCAATACCGTTCATAGAGCATTTACAATTGTGCCATTTTCTCCTTTATCTTTTGGAATGTTAAGGCTTTTTGTAAACCTTTTTTTTTTTTTTTTATATTTTCAATCATATATTCACATTTTTAATACAGAGTTGTTTCCATGAGAGACCACCTAAAAAAAAAAAAGAATCAAATCTGGTGTTTTCTGGAGTAGACCTCTCACCAGAAATTCTTGTTTCAGTTGAAAGTTTCCTCATGCTTGACATATGGTAGTTTTTGAGATTGGGCTTAGCCATGTTTTTAGGTGGTTTCTCGCGGTAGACTTTACTATCTTATTTAAATTATCTTTTTTTTAATTATATATCTCTTTTTTTTTTTGTAAATAAAAGTGAAGGGCCAAAATTTGTTTCATTGTAACAAAAACATCATTATAAAACATTCATTTTTGTTGTATATATATAACATGATGTGTTGAATAGCCATTTATTTAACTTTAAATTATGCTCAAAATATATGTTCATTTTAAATTGGTATTTTATCACATCCACTCACTAACAGATACTGGCTTTGTATGTGTTGAGGACAATGCGATTGTGTGTGAATATACCAATAATAATAAAACTTCAACAGAAGATGACAAAGATATATTTATACCGATTGCTCACTTTTTATTTTATCAGGAAAATTTTTACTTTAGTGGGACTTGAACCTACCATCATTAGTACCATCAGAGACTATTGCCTTACCCCCATTAGGCCATAGCAGCACAAAAAGTAACTCCAGCAGGATTTGAACCCACAATCATCATTTGACCATTGCATCATGAGCCTCTGTGGTCTAATGCCACTGTTTTCTAAACATATGATTGCAGGTTCGAGTCCTACTGGAGTTCAATGTTTTTAGCAGAAGTCAACATTTTGAGTTGATTTTTCTTATTGATGGAACCTGCAGTGTTTCTCTGCTTAGTACTGGAATTATCTTTGTTATCTTCTTTTTACTCTTTTTTACAAAATTATAACACACAGAGTATAACAAACTATCTAATTCAATCAACTAGAATTCAACATGCTTACTATAATTTGTCAGGTTTTTTTTCTTCAAAACATAAGGTAATGAGACCATATTAATGTGTTTCTTGTATTTTCTTCAAATACTGAGAAATTCCTTTTCAAGTTAACATATTTAATTTAAAAAATGATAAGGTATACAATCTATAATCCAAATTGTGCCTTATCATTAGAAGCACAAGGTATAATAAGAACAAATCTAACTAAATAAATAGTGTGTGATGTTTCTGTAGCAATGCTATACTGAAATGTCACATGCTATTTATTTAGATTTGGTCTTATTTCCTTGTGTATCCTTAGTTCAACTAATTTAGATCTAGCTCTCTGTTAGCAAAGATTTTTTTTTTTTTGCTTATCCCTAGTACACGTGGTACAGGCCATGATAATCATGGTGGGTAGTTAGCGACTGCTTTTTACTGTAAGCGCACCACATGTCTACACATGTGAAAGCAATTCGACTTTGCACTTACAAATGTGCCAGAGCCCCGTTTGGTTACTTGCACTCGCTGGTGGGGTTGGACTTTTGCAAGAATCGGGGGGCCATTGGAGCATTTTTTTTTTTTTTTAAACAGAAAAAAGTGTCCAATGCGGGGATCGAACCCGGGTCGTAGTGGTCGTAAACCAAACGGTTTAACCAGCCTTCCACCGACCCCCAGCAAAGATATAAATGTGACAAAGATTGAAAATCTAATCTACACAATAAATACTTAGGTTTATGATAAAGCACAATTTGGATTATAATAAAAGAAAATAAGACCTAATCCAAATAATTTATTAGTGTGTGACGTTTCAACAACATTGTCACCATCATCAGACAAAAGACAAAAGATTGTCTGATGATGGTGACAATATTGTTGCTGAAACGTCACACACTAATAAATTATTTGGATTAGGTCTTATTTTCTTTTATTACTTAGGTTTATTAGATGCCTAAATTAGAGGACTTGGTCTCAAGAAAACCACCACAACCAACTCTAAACCTGAAATTAAAAAAGCCAAATCAATCCAAAGATTGAATTTAAATGGTATTTTTTAAAAGAGAATATCAGTCAGTATTGAAAAAAAAAAAGGATATATAATAGTATCTATGATCATGAAGTTTGCTGATTTTTGCTAATTCTGCAACTTTTAATTTCTTAAAAAAAAAAAAAAAAAAGATTGTGGTATCACATATTTACTACTAGCATGTTGAAAGTTGGGCTGAATTAGAGAGGCTATGTGTGACAGCTTATTTCTTTTACCTCTTAGTGATTAAAAAGCTTGCTATATTGGATATTTAGCTATCTACTGAAACATTGCTAATAATTCATATTTTCTCTATATGTAAATGCTTCCTTATTTAAACTCTTAAACTATTTATTTTGTAAAATTTCTTTCTGGTACCTATTTATTTTTATCTACACCAATACCTCACTTTGCGTCGTTTCGTTTTGCATTTTTTTCGAAGTTGCGTCGCTGCTTATTTTTTACTGATTTTCACTGTGCGTCGTTAGATTTTTGAAGTTGCGTTGTTTTGGATTCGAGTCTTTAATTTTTTTTTTCCCTAAAATATGGCAACACCTTTGTTTTTGATTGCGCCTTCACATCTTTTCACTTTGCGTCATGTTTTTTTGGAACGTAACTCCAACGCAAAGCGAGGTATGGGTATTTATATCTTTTTTAAATCTCTTATAAATGACAACAATATTTTTTATTAAGATAACAAGATCAATATCTGATCTGACACACCGTTTATTGATGTGATCTTGTTTTACATAATACCTTATATATAAACCTAAATGTACCTTATCATAATACAGTAGAACCTCCCTGTAAAGGACACCTAAATACAAAGCCAAAGTGTCCTTTAGGAAGAGGTGTCCTCTTACAGGAGAGTTGCTAAATAGTAAAAATGGTGATTTTGCAAATGAAAACTGTCCTTTATAGAGAGGTGTACGCTAAAGGGAGGTTCTACTGTATCATTTTCATATAAAAAGATACAATTATTGATAGAATTTTTTTGTTTTCACATTCTATTGTCTCTTTTTATAAGTTCATACTAATATATATATATACACAGACCCTCCAAATCTTGATGTTGAGATAAGCATATAAGTACACTAAATTTGTATCCTTTCTTGATAAATGAGATTTTTTCTGAATAAACACACAGATCTCAAATAGAAATTGTCTGTTGAAAATATTCATTTTTTAATAGAAATATTGTTTTTTGGAATTCTATACTGTTCATGTATATATATAATCACACCTATACACCACACCTCTCTCTCTATGTGATAATAAAATACCTGAGGAATATATAAAATGTTGTGTTTTATTATACCCACTTAGAGATTTGATCCATTAAACACTCATGGAACTCTGCCCTTGCCGGTGCCAAGCCCGGATGAAAAAGGAGGAGGGGGAGCAGTAACAAGCTCGATAAAAACCTGGGTTCAGCTGGCCTGGCTGATAGTACCCTGTAAGGACTCCTAATCCAGGGATACAGGATGAGCAGCGTTTGTACTCCATGTTAGGAGCGGCTGCACATGGTGTCTGTTCCTCATGTCAGAGGTGGCCATTTATTTTGGAGCTAAGTCGGCCTGCCACTGAGTAGTGCTCCCAGTCTTAATGACAAAGGCAGACGCAATTTACTTCACCCAGTGTGGAGATAAGGAAGAAGAAACACTCATGGACAAAACTTAAGGAAGTTGTACCTTTTAGCATGTATATATGTACATCACAGTCATAATGGTTGTGAAACAAGCTTGACACCCTAATATGATTGAGTGGAGATAAGAAAGAAACATGTATATCAGGATTCAGACAATAAATGTGAAAGATATTACAGTGACCTTTATTGAAGACACATAAGATAACCAGGTGTGAACAAAATTGCCTCTTTTCTCGACTTTAATTATTCTATGCTGCTTATATGATCTGTGTATTTGAAGGTTTATTCTTAGTTCAGTATTAAACTCACTCATGGACAAAACTTAAGTAGAAAGTCTTTGATGTCGCCTGTTATTTATTTATTTTTTTGGAGACAGGCAATTTGTTCACATTTGGTTATCTTGTGTGTCTTCAATAAAAGTCACTCTGTTTCAAATATATCTTTCAGTTATTGTCTGAATCCCAATATACATGTTAAAAGATACAACTTATTTAAGTTTTGTCCATGAGTGTATGTATTAAAATATATTTTAGAATCATTTTAAAAGTAAAAAAAAAAAGTAATAAAAGTCCTTCCTCTATTGCAAAGAGAAACAAATCTGAGAAGAAAACTAGTTCCTCACCATTTTTCTTAATGAGGCTGGTTCAGTATTTGTTCTTTCTGCTTATATGGTCTGTAAAATATTATCCTCTTAGTGCCTGGCATCTTTAGCTGAAATGGCTCCAAAACTTTAATGCTACTTTCCCTTTTTAAACAACACAAAGTAATAAGACCCAATCCACAGATAAATAGTGTGCAACGTTCCGTAACAGTGTTACCATCATCAGACAAAAGTACTGAATGGATTTTGTGCGATGAATTTTTGGGATTGAATGTAATGAATTCAGTTCTTTTATCTGATGATGGTAACAACGTTGCCATCAATGGGAAATCTCGGTGGAATTCTCTGGACATCCCAATGTGATCATTGCCTACAAAATAAGCGCATGTATGTTCATTAATAATTGGTTAAAAATTTAATAATACAATATCTTTTTTTTTTATTGTTAAAAGCGAGCTTTCGAGCAATGAAGCTCTCATACTGGTTTAATAATTTCAAGTAGAGAAATACAAACTGCTTGTATAAACAAATGTTCACGAGCCTTGGGCGTGCATAACTTTAAAAGCCCTCTAAAATACATGGAAAAATTGAGTGTTTTCAGGACTTTTAAAATTTATATTTCATTATGCACGGCCACACGAGGGCAGGTGAAGATTTGTTTTTACAAACAGTTTGTATTTTTCCTCTTGACATTGTTAAGGCAGTAAAATTGCGTTAATAGCGGCATTGCACAAAAGCTTACTTTTTACAAAAAAAAAGCGTATTGTTAAATTTGTAATATACAGTTAAACCTGTCTATAGCGCCTTCCTCTCTATTGCGGCCGATTTTAAACATTAAAATGTAAACATTTTACATTAAAAGTGACCTGTCACCCATTTTGGTGAGTCCCAAGAGGGGGCGCTATAGACAGGTTTAACTGTATTTAAAAAAAAAACTTTACAATTTTTCTTAAAGCACGTATGTTGTCAGCCATATCAGACTGATTGGCCTTTTGCTAGCAAGATGATCTAGGTGTTCCACTTAATGGGCAGATGCCATGTCCACTAGGCTACCCTGGACATAGCACAATCTAAGTGACACAGCAGGAGTTCTGACCTCACCGTGGAATAGATGAAGTTTGTCAAGTTCAGATCTTTATACCCCAATCTGAAAAATCCAAGTATAAACAGTAAAACACCTCTATCTCTCTAGATACAAGAAAATAAGACCCAATCCAAATAATTTAATATTAATATATTAGTTATAAAGGACTGCGGCGTATGATTATAAACAACACTTAAAGTTTCACCGCATAAGTTTCTTTTCTGTGAAAAATCAATATTTATTTCAAAGAGAAATATTTACTATTTCTAACTTTTTTGGATGAAGTATGAAAGGGTGAAAATATGAAGAGTAATGGCGAACGGAAAAATAAAAGTGTCCAGGGGCGGGAATCGAACCCACAA